TTGATCTGAGCAATGCAGCTCTGCAGAATAAACTCCCCACAGAACCTGAGTTATTTCAGGCTGAGTCCATCCTGCATCCTTAAGCCCTCACAGGGCATCCTGCCAGTCTGATTTGCCTCTCTGACCTGCTCGGGACTCTCCGGGTGAGACTGTGCACGTGTGCATCCATGTGTTTCCATTCAAACAATTGTGTGCATGTTCACGATTCTTGAATGTGAGTGTGTTAAATAGATAGAACCTAAATAATCTTCTTCCTGTTTCATGTGTGTGAAACACATGTCAGCTCAGTGGACCGCTGCTCCTCCACACTGAAAGGAGTCGGCTGAGGTGGTTCAGGCATCTGATTAGGAGGCCGAGGTGTTCCTGGCATGTTCTATCACGAGGAGGTCCTAGGGTAGATCCAGGACACCCTGGAGCAGTTACACATTTTTGTGTGGCTACATCTGGTATACTCCTGGGCACTACTGACAGAGAGCCAACAAGCACTTTTTGTACCGTTTGGTGTTTTTTTCCCTCTCATGCACAAAATATCCAGATTCATTTTAGGCGATGCATCTTTTTATCATGAAATAACAACTACATTTTGGCTGAATGTCTAACTGGGCCTTCACTAAGGTGGGTGCCAGATAAACAGTCTATGCTTAACCTCGGGAGTGGACTGATGTAGCATAGTGAGACATTTACATTTGGAGTTGATATGTCGAGGATGAAACTGACGACAGCGACCTCACTCGTACCGTGTTTACCTGCGTGAGCGTGTCTGCAGTAAGCCCGTATCAGTCTGAGTTTGATGTCTGCTGTGTGGCTGCTCTAACAGGATTATCCTGCTCCCAACATTCTGTCTATTCTTACACCGCTTGTCTACTTAAACCTCTTATCCGTTGTGCGAGGAGCTGTGCGATTACGGCGTTCACAGGCTAACAAGTTCATTTCATCATCGCCTATAAACAGACCCTTTAGTTGCCTTGATTCGATTTATCAGTCATTATCTCTGCACTGCTGTAAGCATCCCTGTAATCTCTGCTCCTCCAGGTTCTCACACTCCCGAGTTCCCTCAGTGTTTTATTAATAACAACTGTGCATTTTAATAAAGATCTGCATCGAGCACTAAAGGCATGGCACACACAATACCTGCATCAGGGGTGGGGAACTCCAGCCCTCGAGGGCCAGTGTCCCTGCAGGTTTTAGATCTCACCCTGGGTCAGCACACCTGAATCAAATGATTAGGTCACTACCAGGCCTCTGGAGAACTTCAAGACATGTTGGTGAGTTAAGTTAGCCATTTAAATCAGCTGTGTTGGATCAAGGACACAACTAAAACCGGCCCTTGAGGCCTGGAGTTGCCCACCCTTGCTCTACATGTCACTCCTATGTAGTGTAATAAGAGGGAAACAGGCCTTCTTGGTGTTTGTGCTGATGTTGGGGCTTTAGCCTATCCTGTGCACTGGAGAAGACAGAAAATGTTTGATTATTTCAGTTCAGGCCATCTATGCTGTCCTTCTCTTTCATGTTTCTGCAGCAACGTTTGTCTAACTTTTCAATCAACTAGTACCTACACAAATGCAGTACTAGATCTGAGGCTACAAGTCTTGTCTTTTGGAGGACTGCACACAAGAACATCTGCATTGGTTGTGTATTCACAGACCATTGTAATGAGTGTTGCTTCGATTTACGTGTGTTGTTTGTGCTGATAGCCCATCACATCATGTTATGGGAATATACTGAGAGAGTGAGGTTGTTTCATTTGACATCAAAGTGAAGTTGATCACGACAGTGATTGTTTACCCTGTTGTGTGTGAATGAATATCAGTCACTAACATGGAACTTGGTTCATGCTATTTGCTAATCAGAGCTTTGTCAGCGTCATTAACAGTATAATAGATGGACATTGCCACAATGACATCACCGAGGTTTGCGAAATCCCATTAAATCCCCGAGATGATGTTTTTGGCTGACCACTTTATCAGTTAGTGAGCTAGTTCAACTCATCAGCCAATGAGCTGGATCATCCTCCTTTCAGTATTTTTATTTTCCCGCTGACTTCTAGATAACCAGAAGTGTTTCTGCAAGTAAACTGGCTTTACTTTTCAGACCTGGGATGTACGTCCATCTCTCTGCTGTATATTATCAGCTTGCCTTGTGATTCGTTGGCTACTATGACTGCAGCACCGGCAAACATATTTGCTCTCCCATACATTAGACAGGCCCATCTCAAACTTTTAAAGTAACACATACACTCCTGTGAAAAGTACACCCCAGCGATTCAGCAGCTTGTAGAGGCGCCTTTAACAGCAATAACTTGAAGGAATCATTTCCGTTTCAGTTTGTGAGTCTCTCACGTCGTTGTGGAGGATTTTTTCTTCTTCTTTACAGCGTTGCTTCGGTTCATTGAAGTTTACATGCATGCATTTAAGGTCTTTCTTTACTTTTTCAGCCATTCTGTTGTAGATTGGCTGTTGTGCCTGGGATCATTGTACTGTTGTATGATTCAGTTTCAGCCAACTTTTAGCTGCCAGACAGATGGGCTCATATTTGGCTCTAGAATACTTTGGTATGCTGAGAAGTTCATGGCTGAATAAACAATTACAAGGTGCCCGCGGCCTGTGGCAGACTGCTGTGTAAACACATAGTGAGTGAAGAAGAAATACTTAGTAGGGCTGTGCGATATGACCAAAATCTCATATCCCGATATTAAAAAATCTATCGTCCGATATCGATATAAATCACAAAAATGTAACATTTTCTGTAAATTCTGTGAATCTCGGGCAGCTCGACTTGCGTGAAGTGTTTCCAGCTGCGCGTCATGTAGCTGGAGTTGAGCGTTTTAACTGATGCATGAAACTATACATTAGACATAAGTTGTAACAGCCGCCGTTTTCTTTGTGAGTATTTATTACACGGCGTGCTGCAGTTTGCCTGTTCTAAAGTTTCAGTCTAAGGTTTATTTTTTAGCACCTGACGGCTCTTTTTTGCTTCTCATCCGTAAATACTCTGCATCTTTCACGTGATTCAGTTTATTTTGAAAAGTCTCAACAGGATCTGGAACTTTATTGTGAAAGGTTTATGTGAAAAATAAAGAAGCAGATACGCGGTGGTTTTACCGTTGTTGTTGCTAACAACAACGCATAAACACAGACGCTTGTCCGTTCATAGTGTGGTTATATAAAATATAAGAGAAAGAGAGAACTTTAAGAAACTAATATAGCCACTGCAGTGACCATCAAAACGATAAAAAAATGTTGCAGTAAACAGTTTATTTTGCGACACCACGAAACAAACGATAGCGTAAAATGAAACGATAGATGTTTTTATATCGTCAGCCGATATATATCGTTATATCGAACAGCCCTAATACTCAGTACATCATGGGAAGCCCCCAACACCCTGAGCCTGATCACCTGATCCAGTCCCAACTATGTACTTTATCTAAAGGAAAGTTTTAAACCTAATCTTTAAAGACATTTTTAGAGAGAAGTTTTCTCCTGGAAACCAAACAAGTTGCACTTGTTCAGTCTTTTTCTAAGTGTACTGCCATAAACCTACATATTTAACATGCTAACAGAGGCCTGTAGAGTTTGAGATGTAGCTTTTGGATTTTTGGAGGGTTTGTTTGAGCACCTTCCGACCCCAGGGCGAGTTTGCTGAAACGTACACTCCTGGGAAGGTTGTGTTAACCAAAGTAAATGCTTTTATAGGGGCACTGTAACACCAAGGGTGTATTTGGTTTTCACAGAAGCGCACAGAGTTCTGTGAAAACTTTAAGATACCCGAATGTGTATATCGACCCTATCTTTGCAATCTAGAACCTCAGATGCAGCTCAGCTTTCCAAAACAGCCAATTGGTTAGGGATATTTATTATCCCCTAACCAAGGAATTTTGCTTTTGTTTCAATATCTGAAAACATCCCATATTTTAGATCCATTTTCGTGTTCATTTGTTGTTTCACAGCATCGCACAACACTGGTGCAAATGTTGCAGAAACCAGGCTTCTGTTGTTCGCCCTAATGATGAAAGTCACATCATCTTCCTGTTTGGATCTCAGATACTATCAGCAGACAAGAATGTGTAGTATAAATAAATTACGACTCGCTGGAGGCTCCAGTTCTGCTCCAAATATGAGTTACAAAGTTAGCGCATTCAGATGTATTTCTCTGCAGTTCTGTTTGTACAGGGGAACAAACAGTAAATCAGACAGATGCCGTTCTTATACATTTTAATCACGTTTCAAGACAGTTTAGAATTTGTTTTAGCTTTATTTAGTACAAAAAGAATGTGTTCAAGTGAGGAAGAGTGATATAATAATATTTAACACTTAAATAAGGCATAAAATAAATAGTACTAATATTATTTCCCTATTTTTCATCCATATCGTCTATTTGGATATTCTGGGCAATATGTTTGTTTTCTTCTTTCTACTTCATCCTTGTTTTCTCTGTTGTTTTTATGTGTTCATCATTGCTGGCAAGAAAATTTTCTCCTCTTTCCTCAGAATCGGCTCCCAAGGCCTTTGGTATCCCGCTCTCCCAGGTCATCGCCAACGACCGGGCCTACAAGCGGCGGCAGGATGCTCTGAAGGAGAGCAGGCGCGACTGCCTCGACCTGGAGGCGAGCGTCCTGCGATTCAGGGCGGAGAAGCGTCAGTTCTTCAATGGGAGCAGACCTCTGGTCAGCTCCTCGTCCATCACAGGAGGAGGTCCGGGTTCGCCGTCTGCTAACTCTGTGGCACCGGCGCCAATTTCTGACCCTCAGAACAAACCGCTGTCACCCACGTTTCTGGATAACACCGGACGAGGACAGAGAAGGGTAAGATTTCTTTGAGTGACAACACACGCACAAAAACAGTGGACATGTGTTTCTTTCTGCCAGATTTAGTCTCATTCACTGTGAGGATTACATGTACGTGCTGTACTCAAGGCCTCCACACTAATCTCTGAGTGCATTTCTAGCTTTTTTTAAATATTTCCACAGCAGTACGTTTGTAGTAAAAGTGGTGTGTGCACCTACATTTCTGTGTGTTTGTGTGTGTGTGTGAACCCGTCTCTGCTAGAGGCCATTACACTCTGTAATTTCTTTTCATGCTGATCTGGAACCAGTGGTTATGTAAAGCTTGTAATGAGTATGATTACAGCCATATAACTGTAATCGAACCTGAACCAGCTATCGAGTGCAGGCGATAAGAGTCGGTCATTGAGGTAAACAGCACACACAGCGCTGCCTCAGTGGTAACATTTGATAGAAATGAGACTTTAATGTGATTCTGATGATTATCTTCATTACTCGTTATGAAACATGCATTTTTTGTGTTAAATTGTTCTTTTAATATTACTCTTTATAGTTATATTCTTGGTCTACCAGGTGTTTTTTTAAGGTGCTATATAAATAAACAATGATGATGATGATGATAAATGGTTATTTATTGCTAATCTGGGAATGGATTGTATTGTAACATAAAAAAAACAATTTCTGTATAAAACGTTTTGAATAATTTCTGTGGAAATCTGCCTCCAGTCATCACAGGCTGCATCTTCAGGTCAGATATATTAGTGATCAGTGGGAGCAGGCACTAAATCTACTAACACAGTGTTTGTCACCAGGAAAGGCCTTGGTATGGAAATCTCTCTGCAGCGAAGCAAGCTGCTGATTTCCTTCTTATTGCCTGTTTTTGAGTGGCTTTTGATACAGCTTTTGGAGCAAATGTGGGCATATAGAACAGCTACATACATCCCTACATACAAGTGCATTTTACAGGCAAAGAACAAGTAACAGGCAACTCTGAGCCTTGTAATCTTGCATAAATGTGCCACTTTATGCCATACCATAAATACTAAGAATGCTTTTTTTGTTAAGGATATTGATTTTCCAATAAGATTACTGGTGGAATGGAAATGTCTATAGCATTGCAGGTCTTTGTTTAAAGGAAATAAACATGTGGAGATCTTGAATCATGAATATATTATCAGGAATAATAAAGCAGCGGGAGCTCACTGGTGTTGTCACTATGTTGTGTCTGACAGGAGAATAGTGCAAGAGAACCTGCTGTAAGGACACCTTGAAATATTATTTGATTTTGTACCGGAGCAGCGATGACAGCATTAGACAGTGTTATGATGGATGATAGACGGGGATGGTCTCTCTCACATAAGTATTACAGCTGTGCAAAACACCGAGCTGCACATGAAGTGGCAAACTATCCTGGATTTCAAACAGAATGACATGGCATAGCAGGTCATTTGCAGACTTTCTCTAATATACAAAATGTGTTTCTGATGAAGGTTAAGATTAGAAAGAAGCAAATCATTTGCTGAATACAGTTGTTTTAGATCAACAAAGGTCAGCTTAAGTAATATTTAGGAGTTTCTAAATGCATGAAGTCATCTGGATGATCCTGATTTGCAGAAAATAGGAAAAAGTGGGCCTGTTGTGGAGGGCTGCACCAATAAGTAGGACTGGATAATTTGTTTTATCAAAGGATGAGAAGCTGGGACTGTTGTGAAGGGCTACATCAATGTGAAAGGGTGGGCACTTAATATTTCTAAGGGGCCACATGAATAACTGGGACTGTTGTTGAGGGCTGGAGCAATAAGCAGGGCTGGGCAATTAATATTTCCAAGGACTGATAGTTAGGAGGACAGGGGGACTGTTGTGGAGAGCCACACCAATTAACTTATAGAGGCCCTCCACAACAGATCCAATTTCTCATGTGGCTCCTGCCCACCTGCTCAGGATATGTGGTTGCCTGCCCTCATTATCAGCTGTGGCTTGTCAGTTTCCACCTGTCACAAATTGTCAGTCAGAGTATTCGATGTGTATGAACATAGTGAATATAAAGGTAACACATTACTTTTTTATGAAGTTATGATCCTAATGTGTTGGTCACCCAAAATCCCAGAGAACACCTGGATTTGCCCCAGAGCGCACCATTTGGGAAACACTGGCTGAGACACCCGAAATGAAGAAAATTAGGAGTGGAAGTTGAAACAGTGCATATCAGATTGTATTGCACAGTTGATTACATAAATAATGAATAAAAAGCATGGAAATGATGGCATAAACTAGTGTAAGTTTGCAAATATGGCTTTTCACTGATTTTTGCATAAAAAAGGCCAAACTGCACATTTATTGTAGAAAACACAAATGAGTCATGTTCAGATGGAGGAAACATCTTCTCATTTCTGCAGTATGTTGCTGGACTGAGCTGTGAGGAATTTCTTGATGTTCCTCCAGAAACTATTTGCAGGCCATAGACATGTGATTTATATTTCTGTGGTATTCGGCTCCTCTGACATTTACTGCATGGTAACATCAAGACAAGCGATAGGAGCTGACTCTTCTCCTCTGCTGGCCTCTTCTCCTGCCATCTATCTTCAAATGTACTTTCCATTTTCTGTCGTCAGCGTCCCTTTGTCTTTCTCACATCTCATTTTCCTCTCTCGAGCCTGCGTTGTCATCTGTTGTGAGCTTTTTTCCATCCCATTATCACCTCATACATATTTGCCTCAGCTTTCAGCATCTCTTGCTTTTTTTCACACTAATGCCTGCCTTTCCTCGTTGTTTTCTGTGCTGGAGCATTTGACCTCACACGCTACTTTGCAAAACTGGAGTTTAGTAATTAATTATGGATTTTCCTACATATCTGGACCTTGTTCTGTTAACAGTGGTACAAATGACTATGTGAGATGAAAGTCATAGCTAATAGTGACAAATCGACAAAGAAATACCACCGATCGTAACATTTTCGCTCATTTTTAGTGACCTAACAACACTCACTCACACCACTTTCAATTGCAGCACACGGTCGTTTTAATGGAAAAAGCCCTAGCTAACCCACAAAGAGCTACATAGCTTATCACCAAACAGCACTCAGTCAAACTTCACAACCAGCTAGAGAACATGATGAGATATTTAAGCGCTATAAAGGAAGTTATCATCTTTAGGGACCGGTGGAGACCAAAAACTGAGCTAAAAAGAGAATAAATATTGTACTTTTTT